GGGCCTGGTGGCAGTGCCCATGCACCACGACCCTCCTCTGGCCTAAGTGAAAGTGATTGCTTTTAATTCTGTGTAGACTGTAGCGTCAGAGTACTGTTTGTCTTCTCGAGGGCAAAATAAAGAAACTAGTAGTCTAGAAAAAAAACCCAAACAGAAAAAAATAAGTGTGATGAACAGGTTTTATATTCTGCATACCATTTTTCAAACTTCCACTCCTGGTAGTATGATCCAAATATTAGTGTGGGCTACAGTCAATGATTGTTGAATCCAACTAATTTAATCCAGTTTTGAGTTTCACAAAATGTATTTCAGGGTGACAGCACAAAGAAAGTGTTGACATTCCCTTTTATTAAGCTGTGGAGTGAAATTTTGTAACTCTAAAAGTGGGGGTATTTAAAAACAAGACTTAAATGGGATTTGGGTACTCAGCTTCTTATGGCTTAGAAAAGAGTTGGACATGTTCTCGTGTTTAGCCTTGGAAATTCCCTTGAGGAAATATCCTTACTACTTGGGAAAAACACGTAGGTGAAGAGCTCCTGAAGGGGACAGCACATGTAGCTGCATGTGTGACATTGCCTACTGTAGCAGCTTTGCTGATCCCTGGAAGAAAGTATAGACCCTAAAGGGAAATTAAAAGGAAAAGTATGGAGAAACGATTCCTTTGTGATACTTCCTGACTGTCTTACTCCTTTAAAATTTTCCCTCCCCTGGCAGTGCAGTTTTAAAAGGAATCATTAGTTCTTCAGATTTTTCTCTCCTTCCTTTCCCAACACCCCAAGTAGCTCCAACTCTCCATAGTTTGGCAGGGAATATTTCTTAATTTTTTCTTCCAAAGTTTTAAAATGTATACACTTCCCCTGTAGTCTCAGAAAACTGCCAATCTCCGTGGGGTTGAAATTGGTAGTGGTTATGTCTGGCTTGTGGATTAATTTCTCTGTAATTGAGTCATATGGATGATGAAAAATCCAAGTATATCTTTTGAGGGACAAATAAAATTTTGAAAAAACATACCATGTTAGTGAATAGGTTTATTTTTTAATATGTTTGGAGCATTACCTAAATAAGAAAAAAACATACTAAGGTATTGTCATTAAAAAAAAAAAAAATTAAAATATGTTTTAGAAAAAAGTTGTATTCATTCCTAAACTCAGTGTATTCAGTGGCAGGTGATGTGGAAAATACTCTTTTTAAAATGAAAGAGAGATTCTTAAAGTTCTTCATAAACAGATTATGGCATCCCTTACATTACAGAACTGTAGTTGTGTGATAAACAACCTCTGCTAACCTGAGAAAAATAATGGTTTCCTTTTAAAAGGAAAAGCGGGAGGTGTACGGGTAGAGGAAGAGGGATTATTGGGCAAGTTAATTAGAAACAGCCCAAGGGAAAAGTTAGGAAATTAAAACCCATAGAATCAGCATGACGGCAGCTAAAAATATGTTGTCACAAGATATGCCGAGGGTGGGGAGCGGCAGGGAGGCGAATAAAGAATTTGATTAAACAGCAAGAAATGTTTTCAGGTGTTTTGATTTCTACATTTCTTGTGGCCCAGCCTGAGTAAAACAGTGGAGTAATAATTACACTTGCAGATTCATGCTAACCTATAGAATAAAGATTGCTGGAAAGTTAAATATCCAAGGTTAACATTTGCTACATCAGAAGAAAACATGCCATGGGAAAATGTATGTGAGTGGTATGCAACACAGGTTTTTCCTTTGGATGTAGAAAGTATTTGGATACCATTCTGTGAGGAACGAAGACTCAAGGGAAAGTGAAAAAATAATCTTAATAAATATAATCCTAATATTTATTTGCAATAATAAATGATTGAGAAGTACGAAGACTAAGATTACTATGAGGCAGATTTCAGAGCCGGTTTTTACACTAAAGGTTTATGTAGCTTTGAAAATAAGATCTGCTCATCTATTCTAATGGTACTTTTCTTGAACAGAGAAAGTAATTTATAATGTTGATTTTCATTTTATTAAATGGGAAATGTCAACAAAAAGCATCTCTCAGTTTCGGATGAGAATTTTGAATATACACATGCCAGAGCAAATGTCTAAAATGTAATACATCAGACACACTGACTTTAAGATTGTGCACAGTGACTGAATTTCTAAAAGTTAGGGGCATGCCTACATGCTTACACATATGTGAATAAGTAAAATAAGTTTATATAAATGTAACAAAAATATATATTGAATATATATACCTGTATGTTTTTCAAGACAATATAAAACAGGACATAGTCTATGAACTGGCAAGCCACTTTGAAGAGGTCAACTACGTCATTTGTTTGTGTGTCCAGTTCTGTGTTTTCTCCTTAAAATAGGTTTTGTTTTAACCTTTTTTTTGTTTTTAACTTTTTTTAGCTGGATCAACTATGTGAGTTTAATTTCCAAATAATGACACTTATTAAAAAGAGTGTATAGAATTTTTTAAGAGCTTTACTATTCTATATTATACCTCACTAACATGAATTTTTATAAGTGCCTACTGTAATGCATTAACATCCCATTGTCAGTGGTTAATAAAATATTTGTCATTGACATAACTCATTGTAGTATTCAGAATTATTAGTTAATATTGGGCCAACATACAGATTTAATGGCTCCATTTCCTGTGAATTGAATTACAGAGTCTATCCTGCAATGGCAGTGTGGATTCCTTGGATATGAAAGCTAACAAATCAGTATCTGTGTTAGGTGATTAGAAGCAGAAGTTGCAAAAAAGCTGTGCACTTGTTGGAGTGTGATACATCTGGTGAAGTTCCTTTCATTTTGTTCTTTAAATAAATTAAACATTTAAGCTTTTTTTTCCCCAACTTTTTTTTCCTTAGAAGAAGTGTTTGTGGGTAGTGAGTTCCTAGGGCGGAAATCATCACAGTATGAAAGCACAGAAAAATTGTATTCCTTTGCTGGTTCTACCACAGGTTCTTTATGCAAAGCATGTATCCTTATAGTATGTTGAGTTTCCCATCTGTAAAATGAAAGAGGTGTCTTAGCAAAGATACTGGTTATTTTCCTCACTCTTTGTCTCTCCTAAATGGAAACAATTTTGTTATAAACACCCAGTTCATTAACCAGCATAGTGGGTTGTTGCCCTAGTTACAGCTTAAATAACCTTTAAAACTATTTTGTTTTGTGGAGCATTCGTTTTTGCATGGCTTAATAAGTACAAGCTTGTTTAGTGAACCATGATACAGATTGTTTTAAACGTAAATCCAGAGACCATGACTGAATTGAGTTTTTGATAATTTATTTCCTTACTATTTTAGGTCTTCTCTCTTTTTTCTAAGCTGGGACTAACAATTCTTCTAATTTTTTCTTCTCCCAATATTTGAATTAACTGTCAACAGCACAAAACGTTACAGTGTAGCATGTCATTGAGGCTTATAGGTAGAGGAAGAATACTATGAAATTTATTTATATTGAATAGAGATTGCATTACAGATTTCAGGTGGTCCCCCTAAGCTCCTAAAAGACCTTTAGAAAGAAGCAGTGATTAATCCTTCTAATGTCACAGCCAAGCTAGGCTGTTGTGTGCCTTAAGACAAAATTCTTCAAAATTAATATGCAAACATTTCTACAAGTGATCTTTCTCAATAAGAACATTCTTACAGTTCTGTATGATTTGATTATTTAGTAAAATGCATTACAAAACCTTCTTAGGACTTCATCTGAATGTAAAATTACTTATGAAATATTTAGGAATACTTAGTGCTTTTAAGGAGATAGCTTTTTATGTCCCAAAGTCTGGAAAACACGTCCCCCGGCCCCGTCTCCTCTGTTCTAGGGAGGTGAGAGGATCAGAAAGTTTTATTTTAACCTTTCTCCAGTTAACACTAAATGTGTTAGTCCTCTTATTCTCGGAGGCCGTTAGTTAAGGGCATAGACCACTCTGTGGGCTCAGTTCCTTAAATCCACTACCTCTGAGTTGCGAGGCTTAACATATAATTTTTAAGTTTTAACTGCGTGCAAGTGTGTGAGGACCTGATATGAGTCAAGTGATTCATATGGGAACTTAATCTTAGTTGTAGGCGTAAACGTGACTCCTTGTTTTGTCATCTCTGAAACGTACAGTGTAATTGCTCACAATTGGTGACCCATGGGGTCACAAGTCCTGCCAGCAAACCTGCTCCAGCGTGGGCTCCTCTCTCCACGGGTCCACAGGTCCTGCCAGGAGCCTGCTCCAGCGTGGGCTTCCCATGGAGTCACAGCCTCCTTCGGGTGCATCCACCTCCTCCGGCGTGGGGTCCTCCACGGGCTGCAAGTGGATGTCTGCTCCACCATGGACCTCCATGGGCTGCAGGGGGACAGCCTGCCTCACCATGGTCTTCACCACGGGCTGCAGGGGAATCTCTGCTCTGGCACCTGGAGGACCTCCACCCTGTCCTTCTTCACTGACCTTGGTGTCTGCAGGGCTGTTTCTCTCACATGTTCTCACTCCTCTCTTTGGCTGCAGATGGGAAGAGTTTTCTTTTTCCCCCCTTCACAGAGGCACTACCACCGTTGCTGATGGGCTCAGCTTTGGCCAGCGGCGGGTCCGTCTTGGAGCCGGCTGGCATTGGCTCTGTCGGACGTAGGGGAAGCTTCTAGCAGCTTCTCACAGAAACCACCCCTGTAGCCCCCCAGCTACCAAAACCTTGCCACACAAACCCAGTACGATTCTTCTGCAACAACTTCGGATACTGCTATAATTATGTGAAGTTCTTGCTGGTCATTAGTGTAGGTCTATAATGCGTAGCTAATTTCTCATGGCACATTTGGATAACAAGTTGTGTATGACTGACTCATTAGTTCAGGGACTTAGAAACGTGGTTTTGGCTCCCTGTTGTTTTACATGCAATTAAAAAATTTATACTATTTCAGGTAAACTGCCCCGTTCCTGAGGTAGTTTTTGGATTATTGTATGTCAGGATAGGGACAGGGCATGATCTGAATGTATTGTTCCAAGTAAAACTTTTAACATGATTCATGCAACTTCTTGTTCATTATAGCCCCACTACATACGTTTTGGATGAAGATGAGCCTCGCTTCCTTGAAGAAGTTGATTACAGTGCAGAGAGTAATGATGATCAAGACATTGAATTAGCTGATAACGCGTGTGATTATGAGGCACCTAATCAAGAAGATGGACTTTCAGACTCAGATTCCACAAGGATACTCCTTTCTTGAACCATCTTTGCAGCCAGTAATAGGAAATAAAGTATCCTGGATTTTCATAGTCAAATACTTCCTCACTCTTGTCCACAAAGGGGATAGGCTTAAGGAAACACAAATAACTGGAGCCTGCCTAGCTCAAGGACAATAAATATTTCTAATTTCTGATAAATTGGCATTTGTTTTATTTAAGGAGTTCTGTGTTTTCTTTTAGCACTAAATAGATAAATTTATTTACTGGTTCATTTTCTACTAAATAGCACCGCATGGCATTCTGTGTCCTTAAACCCTATCTTCAGAAAATGGGTTATAATTTGTGGTGTGTCAGAGTACAGAAACTAATTCTTTGTGGTACGGTTCTTTGAGTTGCTTCCTGAAAAATACATATGTACAGATTTTATAAATTAATTTGTGTATGTGTGTGTATATGCGCGTCTGTATACTGAAGTGAAGAGGTTATTTTTCAACATTATTTCAAAGATACTTGACTGTGTTTGAAGTAATGTAGTGCCTGCTCTGGAACCATTCAATAATTACTAAATTAAAAATGAAAAAGTGATGTACGAATTGTTGCACTTGTTTCTTGCTTCTGAGGATTATATGGCTTTGCCACTATAGGAGGTGAAAATATATAATGTCTGTTCACAGTTTAGGAGTTTTGCACAGTGACCAATGCAGCCTGTGCATACAAGAACTATACACTTGTATAAAACTCTTTCAAAATAGGCACGGTTAATATGAAGAGGTTTTTTTTTTTAAGTGTACATGATACAAAAAGTGGTTTGATACGTACACTATATGCATGTTCAGCTACCCAGTTTCTCCATTTTTCGTGTTCAATATGCACGTAGTTAAAAAGAGTTCACTTTACTGGGGGCACATTAACTATATACCCAATCCAAATGCTTTAAGAGGGAAGGTGCATTTTGGTTTAAACACAGAATCATAGAATCATTAAG